CGTTCCCGTCCGAGGCATGCCAAGTTCTTCGAGTAATTTACACAATGCCTCGAATAAGGCCGTTACAAGGTTTTTAGCTTTAACTTTTTGAGTTGTTTTATTCTTAGAGTGGTTTACTTTGACTCTAGTAATCAATCCAATAAAGTGACAAAAAGGAAATTTTATAGTCGACTCCAAATTTATTAACGCAGATTGCCATTTTTGGAAGGGGCTACGTAATTAATGAGATTTTTCATGAATTTAGCAGAGAGACAGCAACAGTGGAGTCCAAGAATGCTCAGCTGACTATCTTTTATGCTGGTAAAGTTTTGGTATTTGATGATTACCCAGCTGAGAAAGTAACAGAACTTGCAGAATTTGCTAGCAAGGAAAGCTGTAAGGAATCCCAAGGCATATTGTCGAACCACGTTAAAGAAAAACTAAATTCGAGTAATGCTGTGGTGTCGACCGCTACTGCACGAGACAGACTTCCTCCAAGACCTGATGCCGCCTCTTCTCGTAAGGCTAAATGGACTTTGCCCGATCCCGACAAGGAGGCAAAGGAAAGGCTTCCGCCCCGACTCGACCCTAGTGGTTCTCATAAGGCTAAAGGGATTTTGCTGAATTCGAGCACTGAGAAAATGAACACTGGCGGTGCTGTAGCCTATTGCTCTAGACCAGAAGAAAGGATTTCACCACAACTTGAAGCCAGTGATTCTGGTATTAGCTTTTGACAAAATAATTTACATTTTCAGGAAAAAAAAAATTTTTTTATTATGGACTACATATGGAATTTTCTTCTTTCAGATTTGCCAATTGTAAGAAGATCATCACTTCATCGATTCCTTGAAAAGAGGAAAGATAGGTAAGCAACTTCACACCGTACTTTTGTAACACAAAAAAATTTCTAATGCAAAAAATTCTTAAAGATAATTTTACTTCGAGGCAATGCTGTAATTAAAAATTAACTCCCATATAGGGTAGGAGTTATAATGCCCACCTGTTGACGTGATATTTCCACATTAGCATGTCAAACATTTTTTAATTTGAAAAGTAAAAAAAAGTAAGCCTTGACAACGTTACATCAACAGTGGACAATTGTTATCCCTACCTACTATGGGCAAGAGATCAACTCTGATGTTACAATATGTAATGATTCGTCAACGGGCTACATAATATTTGAACTATATTTTGACTATTTTTGCTTCCCTTTTTGTTGATTCAGGACTGTAAGAGAGCAAAACCAAATTCAAGAGCAGCCTGAATATTCATCCAAGCCTGATGAGCAGCTTGAGCTCAAATTATAGATAATTGGGTTACAAGGTTTAAACTAGCTTACACTACCACTATCTTGAATGATTTTTTTTTCAATTTATTAATCTCGTTATTTGGGTTTTATTATGGATAGAACTTAACAGTTTATTAATGATTCTTCAATTTTTCTTTCACTTCCATTGCATTGCCAATCTCCTAATGTTGGACTTGTCTCAATTTCAAAAGTTAACTAACGAGGAGTAACTCAATAGCATTGATAATTGATACAATGTTACCTGGTATGTAATTTTGTGTCTTTTTTAAGAATAATGTTATCTAGTACCGTTGGTGCTAAAGCGCCAATATAGATTACTACATTTTATAAGTTCAACTAAACGAGTCGTTTGATTTTGCATTTAAATGAAATTGTCATATATGCTTAACACCAGTAATGTTGAATAGCATTACTCCTTTTTAATGCGTGTATATATTATCATGTGTATCGTCATAGCACGGCATGCATCACAATTACATATGAATTACGTGCATGCAATGTCCATAAGAACTATATTTTTTTGTACTGATTATATGACTCATCAATGCATGGTGTAGATCTCCAATACATAGTAGAGGGACTCAAGGCCTAGAATAGAGGAATGCACGTTAGCCCCTACATTTATTAAGCATTGTTGGCATGTTTGAAGTGGCTTTTTATAGATGAACAATACATACGACTTATTATTAATGTTGACTCCCCCAGATTAAAATTAGCCCCCATTTGATTCTCATTAAATTCAATTACATTACATTCCATTTTTTTCTCTCCTATTTTCAATCATACAAGCTTCCATAAAATAATATTACACGTAAATCGAAAATTTTTCCTTCTTTTTAACCACTCATTTTTCTAAAAAATACTATTTCCCCCATTTTCATTTTCAGGTAATGGAGGTCAAACGAGGGCTAAATCAATATAAATCTTACTTTCGAAGTTTATCTTTAAAATAAGTTGCTCAATTAGTCGTTGAGCTAGGACCGGATCCAGCTGGATCTAATTTAATTATCAGAGATTTTCAAAATACAAACATGTTTTGTCAATTTTTATAAAAATCATATAAAATCATTTTCTCAAATTTCATTGGGATCAGGGACCCCACGGGCCCCCACCTCTCTTTACCATTGCCAAACATGTTTGGGTTCTGCTATATGGACATGCCTGTACAAATAAGTGCCGGCCAATAGGAGGTTGCCATGTCGGCCCCTGTTTGGACTGGGCGTGTCCAAGAAGATAAATCCAACGTGTTTTGTGTTTAGATTCAAGTTTTGCACTACAGGACGCTAGATATTTTTAAAGGATCTTGTTCAGATAGGCAACTATAGTTGTCCATTGAAATTTAAAACATTAAATGTATTGCTACGCTCTTTTGATAAAAGGTAAATTAGGGTTGGATCCCAACTTTTCATATGGTGTGGTTATATGTCCTTAACCTTTAGAAGTAAGATTTTGAATCTCCACCTATTTAAATTGGCAAATTTAGACCCTAAAGTGATGAAAATCATCAACTTGGACGTTAAAGTAGCAAGTGCCATTCAATTGTATTGAAAATAAATGTTAAGTGGTTTAATAGTTTTACCTTCTGGCCTTGAGCCGTGTGAATGTCATGTATAATTTTGACATTTATATTGATGATTTTGATCACTTGGGAACATAGAATTACCAATTTAAATAGGTTGGGAATTTAAAAGTCTCACTTTTGAAGATTAAAGATCCATAATCACACTACATGAAAGATTGGGGACTACAATACTGATTTACCCTTTGATAGATATAATTAGTAGAGTTGTTACCCTTGTTTTTACTAAACGAGTGATTGTATTATGATAATAATATTTTGATGAGATTATTTTAGAGAGCCGTTATTTACATCTATCTCTATTATATCTATCGCACTATATATCTATTACCATTAAATTTTTTTTTTAATTTATTTTCACTTACATCACATTCCAATATTGTCCTTATTAAATCTTTTTATTTAAACACTATACATTAACACCATTTTTATACATCTATCTCATCGTAATTTCTTCATAATCATTTCATATTTTCAATCATTGCCATCAATATGTCTTTGTTAAATTTCTTTATTTGTTTTGATAATCTTACCAGATTAGTCACCAATATTTTGAATTCAAGAAAAGAAAAAGATAATCCAGCAGAAAAATTAAATTCTTGTTTTCATAATCCAAGTGGAAAAGATAGTCATTAATGTTTTCAATCCAAGAAAATCAAGAAAAAAATATAATCCCGATAAAACTTAAAATAATTTGAAATAAAATTTCTTAACTCCTTTCTGGTCGCAATTTCATCCCAACATAATTGATTTTTGCATCACATCAGTGGCCCCCACGTGCAATCTTGTAAACCAGCTTTGAAGACACATTTTATGAAAAAAGTCGTTTTCAAATTTTGTGCGTCATTTGAATATGGTGTGTATTGGCCACCATCGATCCTTACCAATTTATTGAATGGTCAACATTGAGTTGTCAGATAAAGAGAGTGCAATTGGATTATATTTTGGGGGCATTTGAAAAAATGTCCAATATTACATGTGTCAATTCAAAAATATCCACTTTTGATAATCTTTACAAAAATAGTCAAATTTGATATCAAATTCTCTATTTTTACCCTTAGTGAAAGAATAAATAATTTCATATTGCACATGTCAAATCACAATTGATGCTAGACACAGAAATTGAGAAAACAATATTTTAAGTATAGAGAAATGTCATGTTCGGAATGAAATGTCATTCTAGACATTTAATATGTCGAGAAAAACGTTTGAAATATCAAGAACATTAATATTGTGATTTGACATGTGTACTTTTGAAATATAAACAGATTCAAATATTAAGAAAAACATTTGAAATGTCTA